TCCCAAATTTCCTTAATCTCAAGCTTTCAAACTTTTAAACTCAAAATGACCACCCCAAACCACTAGCCCGCAGAAGCCAGTAGAGATCAACCCACTAGAGAAAGGACCATTGCGAGAACCAGTAGAAGGCTGCAGGAAGCTAGGCCAAGCGAAGTATTTGCGCTGCCCAGGCATACCATTTCCTAACCCACCAAAAAAGGTAGTGCGGACATACGGTAATTTCCATTGATAGGGGGAAGCCCAGAATAGCACCATTATACTATCATCCTTCTCATCCAGACCCAGAAGAGGGTACCCCTAATTTTGGGAAACCCTAGACCCTAAACCTTGTATAACCCTATATACCCGATATACCCTATGTACCCTATCTACCCCCATGTCCCCCTTTAAAGGTACCCAAGTACCCCAGATTTGGAAACCTCCATTTAAGAACCCAACCTGGGCCCTTCACCGCGAAGCCATGGGAACACCAACCCAGACCCCTGGGAGGATCTAGAAAGTAGAACCCCTACTATGAGCTATAGTCTAAACTCCTTTAAAGGGGTTGTATAGGGGATGATATGGGGGAGTATTCTCGGGTTACTAAGGGGGATACTAGGAGTTTAGACTATAGCTTATATGGTACCCTATACCACTATGGAGTAGATTTCTAGGAACTCTAAACCCTAAACCCTAAAACCCTCTACTTTCTGGATCCTCTCAAGGGTCTGGGAGTAGGCGGTTCTCGACAAGCGGATAGCCAACATTCGTCGAGATGACAAGCCCCTTAGCTGAGCTCTACGACTATGGGCGTCCTGAAAGTGATGTTAAAGTCGTGCTCAAAAGAACCCAATACTTGCTAATACATATATGTATATGTGTGTATATATATATATGTGTGTATGTATGTATGTCTGTCTGTCTGTCTGTCTGTCTGTCCGTCTGTCAGTCTGTCTGTCTATGTATGCATGCATGCATGCATGCATACATCCTCTTGGCGGGTTTCCAGGGCTGATTCAGATGGGAGGGTTCTCAAACCTGTGGGGGAAAGCTTCATGCTGCGGTAAATATAGCGACCAAACCCTAAACTCTAAACCCTAAACCCCTAAACCCTAAGCCCCTAAACTCTAAGCCCCTAAACCCTAAGCCTCTAAACCCCAAAACAACTGAACCCTTAACCGATGGTTTCGCAAATAGACGGACCTAAGTTTGAGAAATCATCCTACAGGTTTGTCAATATGTTGCTAAGCCAGAGGGTCCACATATGCAACCATTAGGGAATTGGGACCCATAAATCCTCATAATAGTATGGTATTTCGGGGCCTAATTCCCTAATAGTTGTATATATGGACCTT